CAAACTCGCGAAAGGCAATATCAGGATGAGCCTCTGCCACACCTGGACTTTTGCAAGAAAGGCTGTACCTAAACCCCAAAAGTATGTACAAAAATAGCCCTAAACCCAGAATAACAGCCATGAAGGCCATTATTTTACATACTTTTGGGGTCCAGGTAGAATCTTGGTAACATTGCTAAGGACGAAGTAGGTTGAAATACGTGAGCCTCAGGCGCTGGAACATGAACTCTACTAAACGGCATATATCTTAGGTGGACCCCCCCACCCAGTAATAGTGACTATCCGGGATAATAGGGATTCTATTAGGGTCCTCTTATATTCGTATTATACCACTATTACAGGGTGGGGGGTTCTCCTAACATATATCCAAGAAAAATACCAGGGTCCCTGCAACGCCCTCCTTTTTGAAGCTACCCCATACTGCCCTCCTCTAAGCGAACATGGGGCCCTACATATTGCCCTTCCTTTTCAAAGCGCAGTAGCTTTGATAGGCTCATTTGTTGTTGCTGCATTACCCTAAGGGTCCAAGTACCTCATAATCATATACTTACCCAAAATCTGCACTATAATTCTTATTACCCCCATCCCAAGTACCTAGTTATTGGGTACATGGACCCTCTGGGTTATGTTCTTTGGGGATGTAGCTTGCTTCCAAGAGGCTGTGATCTTCTGCAACACCAAACAGAAAGTCGACTGGCTGACGCCGAGCCGACAAAGTTATGTACATTCAGGCTGTAGGATTGAGTTCAGTGGTTCAGGGGTTTGTTTAAGCTACGCTTCAATTTCGGTTTTTTCCGTGAGTGTATAAAGGTCATATTCGGAGTCCTATTGGTGAGGCCGTACATGCTGATCATTGGTCATCTAGGCTTTGGGCTTACGACAGGGTTCAGGGGTCTAGGGCTTACGCGGAGCTTTATTTCCCTGAGCCCTAAACCGTTCCAAGCATTCAAGCATGGAGCCTAAGCAGGCCAATGTTTGCCTTTCCGCAGGGGCCCATGACATTAGCGTTTAGGATTTAGGGTTTAGGATTTAGTGTTTAGGGTTTAGGATTTAGTGTTGGGGGCTTAGGATTTAGGGTTTAGGGTTTAGGATGGTCTAGGGTTGAGGGCCTGGAGCATTTCTTACGCATCACTCTGCGGATGCAAGCTGGACTTCTCGAAGGCTGCTGAACCCTCAGGGTCCAAGGACCCAAATAACAAGATTTTCGGCCCCAACACTAGAATATTAATGGTATTTGGGCCCTAAAACTCGTAACGTGCAATCCGTCACTGAGTGGCGGTTCCAGAAACAGGGTATTGGCTTCAGGGATTGGACGCTGCCACCGGGGTGCTCAGGAGTTGTACGTGTGAAAGACATGGATTCAGGAGTTATGGCCTGGCAAATAGCTATGTTGTCACATGCCAGACTTGTCTTGTTGAGTGAACAAACAACATTGCGTTGGGTTCCAAAGCAGGAAAACGATAAAAAGTGAAATCACAGTTCATGCGTTCGGTCAGGCCAATATGTTGGTATTTGGCAGGGCAACTTGGAAATTTATCAGACTTCATGTCTCTCTGCGAGGGTATTGTGTTCCAAAACAATGTAGCATTCCCGGAAACATGTATTGGAAAAAGCCAGCAATCTGAAAAATCCATGAGGCCTGGCCTGAACAACTTCATGATTTGGAGGCATGAAGCAGTTGTTAGTAGGTATGCTTTTGTTTGGAGAACAACATTCAGTAATCAAGGAAACGTTGTCATGCAGCGGATTGGCGGAAGTATTGTATTGCAAAGTTGTTTGGATGACCAACCAATTTGTTGTGACAACGCACAAGGACCTGAAATCTCCAGAACAGGTTGTGGCATTTCGGCGCAAGCTGGCTCCAATTTATGGCGTGGATTATGGGGCAGTTGGGTAGCGAAGGGAATCAAAGCAAGGAGCTCATAATATGATTTGTCTGTAGCAAGTCACACATGAAGCGGGGAAAAATCGTTGCTGAAGTTGTAGTGTCTGTTCATGTTCCATGACTTTCGTCCAGATTCATCATCATAATCTCATAGGATTGGGGCCGGCTAGCTGTCACAGATCGCTCTGCGCTTCTCATGGGGGAGAAGAGCTCTGGTCGAGTGGTGGGACAGCGGGCGCCGCCTGCATTGACATGGCATGTCTGTCAGATGTGCCGGGCATCACCAACGAACCCATTCAGTTCTGCAGATGCTAGAATTTCGAAAGCAGATCTCGAGACGCTTGCTGTTCCTGTGCTGGCTGCCTTGAACAAGAAATCTAGGGTCAAACAGAAACTGAGCAAGTTTTTGCAAAGTGATGAGGCAAGCCTTTTTCTTGTGCCCCCTGAGCAGCTATGCCAACAGGAAGGTCAAGAACTCTATTTCGTGAATGTGGTTCCAGTTATGCTAGGCGCATGCGGCCTTGATCTTTCAGTTGAAGCTTGGGAGGATATCTTGTCGTCCTTGCAACAGCGCCTGGCTGAAAAGATTACTCAGACTATGCAGACTATGCCGGCATCAGGAAATCATTGTCCTTTGTTCGATCTTGCGAGTAGTATGTCAGCTGATGACTCCACAGACTTCACAGATACTTGGCCTGGTGCTGTTGATTTTGTTGATGATGATATGACAATGTCTGGATCTATCATCGGCGCTCGCGATGATGGTGATCATGGCGGGCATGAACTTGATAGTGCAAGCAGCGCAAGCGCAAGCAGGCCGCTCACGGTATCTGATGACTCCCAAGTGTCGCTGGCAGTACCGTGGTTTGATCGTTTGTCTAGGGAGGAGCTGTTGATCAAGCTTCATGAAAGGGATGACAGAATTGCGGCATTGGGTAGAGAGTTGGATCAGGCTCTTGTCACGAAGCAAAAGCCTACAGATGCTTTGAAAGAACGGCTAAAGGCAAAGCAGAATGAGTGTAGGAGGCTGGTTCGTAAGAATGCTAGCCAGGCTGCAGAGAAGGCTTCTTTGCAGAAGAAACTTGACCTACTAAAGGCCATGATTATAGAAAGAGGGAACTCCCGAAGCAAGCGCAACGGGGACAGTGAAGCCATATGTGATCGGGGATGGCTCACCCCCAGCGGGACCATTCAGCTTGCAATCAAGCGGAACCTCGCGCATTGTGCATCTGAACAATTGCAGCTCTTGATTCAGCAAGATGTTTCGAGATGGACTGTGTCAAGTTTCTTGGCTGCATGTGACGTCCTCAGATTTGCGGTTCGCGGTTTGGGGTTCAGGGGGTTGGGGCCGTGTTTGGGTTTTGGGTTTATACGGTTGTGGTTTAGGGATTTGGGGTTTAGGTGAAATGGGTTAGGGGAATTTTGAGGGTGTAGGGCCTGGTTGGAAAAAATTGAGTTCGGATTCTAGTTTTCTTAGTTTTCCTTCAGCATCCGAGAGCAACAGTGTGTCTCTAGGGTCCTGAATCTACAGATCTTTTTCAGGTCATGCAGACCGGTAACAGCCCCCAAACCCAAGCCCTATACCGGCAAGCCTAATCTGATCTCTAAATTCTACACCCTAGACCTAGACCCTAAACGCCTAAACCACAACCCAAAACCCTAAACCCTCAACCCTCATCCCTAAACTCTGAACCCGTCTGAACCCTAAACCGCCAGAAGCCAGAGAGCCTTACCGTGAGGATCCCACTACCCCCGAGCAAGGGGTTTGCTATGGGGGTTAGGTTAGGATTTTGGGCTTCAGGCTTCAGGGGTACCGGGGTACCATCAATAAGCAGATTTCCATGTTCCAGCTTTCAGTACTGAGGCAGCCCAAGAGATCACTTTAACTAAGGAACGTACCCTACATGATCCGATTCACAGTATGTTCCTTAGTTAACTAGTCAAAGGTTATTGTGGTTCCTGAGTAGTCCTTATCCCTAAACCCTCAACTTCCTCAACCCTAATGAATCCCTAAACTCTACTAGTTACTACACCTTAAACTTAAACCTGTAATCCTAAACTCTAATCCCAAAGTCCCAAAGCCCTAATCTTAATCCCTAAACCCAACGCCTCGACCCAACGCCCAGCTTGGAGTTCCCCAACCTAAGCTGGATACCGAGTTGGGTGTAAGTGTAGGACTCGGGGTTTTGGGTGTCGGTTTCGGACCGGAGGATTTATGGCTTTGGGCCTCGGGATTTGCCGGGTTTGGGGTTGGGACTCTGACTCTAGCCCCTTAAGCCCTTAAGACCCCGTTGGGGCTCAGGCTGTGTTAGCCAGGTTCGCACGGGTGTAGGGCTCAGAGAGCCCCAGTATGTCTCCTCCATTGGACTTCTCCATTTCAGCGACGTTACTGTTACTCTGATCCTGATCCTAGACTTACCATAAACCAAAACCTTACCAAGCAGTTGGGACTTCTGCGACTTCTACGTTTCGACTATAATAAGGAGGCCCAGCAACAGCAACAGCGGCAACAATAGCCTCAGCAACAGCATCGTCATCATCCTCGCAATCATGAAGAAATGTCATATGAATAATAAATTATGAATATCTGTTTCACTAAACCGCCAATCCTTAGGCCCTACACCCAATCGCCAACGCTGGTTTGCGTTTTGCGCTGATTCCATTTCCAAAGTCCTGTTAGAAATCCCTACCCAAGGATGCGAGATAAAGGCGGCTGCGGCGTTGATGGCTTCAGCTCGTATATGGTTCAGTGCCCTGCGCAATGACCTGATGTACGGCAATGGCAGTCATGATCAGAAGTACTGCATTGCAGTCATAGCGTTCCGTCAAGATGCCACGAATAGCAAGTACAAGCAGTGCCATATGGAGGTTGAGTGCGGTGTCATGCATGTGGCAGGCACATCGACACGTGAGACAGGTGAGCATCAGTGTGATGTTGATCGCAGCCTTGCGGGGCTGGACCTTGTGAAATACATCTCTGATGTCATTACTGTTCAAGAGGGTACTGCGCTTGCCACTGTGGGCATGTCACTGAAGATGTTGGAATCCCTGGGTTGTCCCACATAGCGTGAGCTAAATCAGAAGAGAGAAGCCATTCTTCAGAAACTGATGGAAGGTCATGCTGGCAAATTGGAGGGCAAACCTTTGGAGGAGGTCACCACGGAGATTGCCAAATTGTTCCTTGGCCATTTAATGTTCCTGAAGTCCAGGGTCAATGTGTCCATTGGTGAACTGAACTGAGTCAATTGATTATTACCGAGTGATTTTGATATCATAGAGTCGTAGAGACAGTCACAAACTCACGGCTTCTGTGATTTCCGATGACACTGACAGTGTTGCTGTGGGCTGTGGGCTGTTGGTCTTGGTATTGAGTATTGAGTATTGAGCGCTGAGTTAGTGTTGAGTGTTGGTATTTGTGTGGTGTGGTGTGGTGTGCGGAAGGGCTTTGGTCGCGGAGTCGCGGCGGCCGGTGTCAATGAAAACGATGAATGATTATGAATAATGAATGAATAACAATCAGCTCTTGAATCTTGAATCTTGAACCTTGAACTTGCTTAGATTGTGGTTTGGTTCCGCTACGGGCAGAGAAGTGGCAGAGAAGGCTAATGCTAAGTCATACTGAGCATACCTTTTTGTTTATCCTTCTCATCGTCACCAAGCTAATCAGTCAGAAATTCAGAAATGCAGCCAGGTAGTTTAGTAAAGTAGCAGATTCTAAGCCCAACAAACTATAGTCGTAGAAGTTCCTAAGTACCGCTTAAGTTTGACTATTTCTGGGGGTGGTGATTGAAGGGCCTGGTATAGGGCCTAGGACATAGGGCATAGGGCATACGGTGTAGGGAGTCTGGTGCTTATTGTTCAATCCATGCTTCAAGAACTCAATAATGCCTGTAACACTGTAACAATCTTTGTCATCGCAATCACAGACAACGTCACACCGAAAGATTCGTGCTAGGCGGTACTAGGTACACTGCCACTGCTAGGTGCTAGGTGCTGCACTTGCTGCTACCGCGCGTTGTGGGGAACATAACATTACAAATCATTTCAGCTCACAACGACACTGCTACTTCTTCTTGCTGCTGCTTGTGGTTAGGCGTTTGCTTGTTTTCGGGCTTATATGTTAATACTTTGACGCAGGCCCAGGCGCGCAAGGTTCTTGTGACGCACTAAGACCCAGGTGTGTCCTCAGGTGTGTTGCCAAGCTGCCAAGCTCCTTTCATATATTTGAGAATCTTTTGTTAGCAGACAGACATTCTTGATTCTTGGGGCAAGCGGGCAAGCCTTCAGGGCAACAGTAGCAAGCCAACAAGTTCCCCTTCCAGCAATGAAGCACCAGTGCGCTGCGCCCGAAAACTAAAACAAATCCGGAATGTCCCAGCGCTTAGCAACTTAACTCAACAGCATTGATTCGTCGTTGTGACGGTGTCTCGTCATTAGGTTGTTGAGTTGTTGACCCTCTTTGGCCCTTGCCTGGATTGCTTGGGCTAACGTCTAGTGGTCTAATGGGCCAATGGCCCAATGGCGAATGGATAATTAATGGTGTAAGACAGTCGAGGCTCAAGACTGGAACTCATAATTTTAGGATGTATTGATGTATTTCTATTTCACTTTCTAGAAAGGAAAAGATTTACTACTACTACTACTACTACCACCACCGCCACCACTACTACTACTACTACTTCTACTACTACTACTACTACTACCTAAATTCCTGAATGCTAGCCGATGACTTAGTTGCAATATTATTTTATCTTGCCTTAGTGCTACAGCATACTACAGCATGGCCCTACGGCCCTACGGTTACCGGCTACCGCCTGCAACCGCCACCACCACCACAGCCGCCGCCGCCGCCACCAGCGCCGCCGCGCCGTGCCACCACCACACCACACCTGCAGCTGCTTTTGTCATGAGACTTAGTTGGGCGCTGTTAGGCAGTTAGTCTGTTAGTGTTTCGTGCGGCGAAACAGACCCTCCTGCCTGCTCAAACAGACGCATGAGCTGAACTGACTTGCTGAATTTTGGGTATGCTGACTGATGCTGATGATGCCTTTAGTCTTTGGGCTCTTGGGCCACATCTAGCTTGACCTACCAGACCTCTTTCCACCACCTGAAGATTCTTGGAAGTCGCAGGCCTGCAATGCAATGTACATTTCTGTTTTTCTAAACTATTCAGCCCTCAGCCTTCAGCGGCCTTCAGCCCTGTCTTCAATGACTGAAACGTCAACCTTAACCTTAACTTCATCAACAGACTAAATCAACAGAACCCCTTTCGGCCCTTTCGGCCGCTTGCGCCACTGTTAACCCTGGACCACTGGACCCTTACCTTACCCCCCTCACCTCACCCCTCAACTGTCAACTTCTGTCAGCTTGTTCTGCGCAGGCAACGACAAGCCTGCGACGCAATCTTGGACAATGGCGAGCTCTGGTATGTGACCACAACTGACAGAGGCAGCAACGAGGTGTCGGCGCGGGGAATCACGCAGTCATATATTTCATCACGTTTGGGTTTGGCTCCCGTGTACTATGCCAATTCAGATTGCTTCGAGCATTTGGGTCATCTGATCACGTTAGGCGGTATGAAGTTGGTAGATGAAGAGCTCAGGGCCGTTCGCCAGTGGAAGTATTATTCGTCGCTGGCAGTCTTCAGTAACACTGCACGAGGTCTGGGTAAAAAGATCTATCGACAATGGTGCGTAGAGCACAGCCCTTCCAGTGCAAAAGAACGAGTTTTCAAGCTGTTTCCGAGATGCAATTCGGGACGTTGGAACTCCACTGACGAAACTCAGAAGCGCATCATAGCTTGTGGTCAGGATATGTTCCAACCGGTGTTGAAAAAGGTGCTGAGTGCAGCCATTTGTGATGACAAATGTGGACCAGCAAGCTTAACGGTGTGGTCCGACCCATCCGTGCCCATCACTGATTCTGCTGAGCAGGCTGAACCTCCAAACAAGAGGGCCAGAGTATCTTCAGAGTCTTCTGTTCCTCAACCAAAGGGAAAGGCGAAGGCAAAAGCACAGGCCAAAGGAACGGCAAAGGGTTCCGATTCGTGGCAGCTTGTGGACGGATTAGCCATTCAAGAAACGCAAGCCTACACAGAGAAGATTGGCAAGTATCGGCGATCTACCCTCACATGCGCTGAGGACAAGTTATGGTGGCTGCTGATTGAGATCATGAATTGTTGCAAACAGCCCACTGTTCATTTCAGTGCCTTCTTGAAGAAGCGTTGCGCGACTGATTTTGTGGCAAAGCATGGAAATGCCCTCACCCAGTTAGTCCATGGTCGAGCACAGGATTTCATGTGCGAGTTTGAACAAATCCTGGATAATCCAGACCTCGCAAAGATTCTTGATCGTGCTGTGCGGATGCTGCCTGCAGAAGAATCGAGTTTTGGCTTCAGCCTGAATAGATGGGCGGGCTTTGGTCTTGACAACTTGTTGACTTGATGAAGCTAATTGAGTTATTGTGTGAAATGATAGATTTACGCATCTCGTGTCTCTTCTCTGTGTTGATGCTGGCTCTGCTTTGCTTGTGGGTCTGGGCCGGGGAATGACGGGGCAGGGCTAGATTCTAGATTAGATTAGTATATTTGGGGGAGGGCCTTACAAACTACAATGTCTTGGGTTACAGGTTACAGACTACAGAGGTTACAGAATTTGTTGTCAGCCTGTCAGCTGTCGGTTTGTCGGTGGGTTTGAGGTTGTAAAGCTGTGATGCTGTCATGTGTTCTGGGTTTGGAGTCCCTGTTCCTGATGGCTTGACGGTCTCCGAAGAGATGTGGGCATGCTGACTGCTTCACGTCGAAGGTGATATTGTGTCCAACATCCTACACCCAGCATTTTATTTAATGTGTTTTCCTCTGTTGCGTGATGTTGCTGAGAAATGATGATCATGATATCATGATGTTGTGCAGATCTGTGGACAATGCCGGGTCTGTAGAATGAGCGCAAGGGGCACGGGTCCGGTTGTATCTAGTTTAGCGTTTCGAAGATTCGGCGTCCATTGTAGTAATTGTAGTATGGGCTTGTGTAGTACTTGCGTAGCAAACAGTAAACTATAGTAAACCAGTAAACAATCAGCTTCCTGCAGAGCAGCCAACCATCATGCCTTCTATGTTTAGCGTACTTGGCGTCTGGGCCCTCTGGGGTCTGAGCGGTGATGGTGATGGGTAATGGGCCTGTGTTCAGTGCTCAATTTAGTTGATGGGTCATTGATGGGTCGAGTCCGCCTACACCAGGTGCCTGTTCGTTGCGTAGGCTAATTGAATCGCATTCGTTCTTTCAGCCCCAAACGTTCATCCAGATACTTCCCAGTGCTGGCTTGCGATCCAAGTACTACAAGTTTTGATCTGAGTTCACTGAGTCCGCCCGAGTTCTTTCCCAGATTCAGATTTAAGACTGACCTGCTCCTAATCCCGGTTGCCGTCCCCGTCCTCTGCTCAGGAAATGGTTGGGCCAACTCTCCGCCAAAATCATCATGCTGTCGTCCTCAGGATTTCACCGCCGTGTGTTGGTGAGGGTTCGAAGCTTCCCACATCGTTTGCTGGACTTTGTACGGCTCCCTGCGGCACAGTTCTGTCCGGTGCGGCAGCAGCTCGCCAAAGAACTGCTTGAGCAAGAGTCAGCAAAACTGGAGTTCAACGTGCGGAAGTTCAAGCTTGCGCACGCCAAGGACCTTTCGTTGCTAGACATACTAATGAAATGTAGTCAGCCAGTGATGTGATGTGCCAATGCATGTGGCAGTTTGTTTATATCTCTGCACAACAGCGTTGCAACTTTGAATGTTTGGTTCAGCGCAGCGCTTGAGCTTGAGCACTACTAGAGCAGTTGAATCGAGCACTGCACTAATTCGTTGGTTCCTGTCCTGTCAGAGCCGGCACTCGGTCCATCAATCCATCAGAAGTCTAATCTCATCACTCTCATCACGTCTCATCACTCATCACCTCATCAGGCTAGTGCAAATTTGTTTGTCATTTTTATTTTCAGTTGGGGAATTACTTTTGTGGTCTTCTGGGATCACTCTTTAGACTCTTCAGCCTCTTCAGCCCTTCGGCTCTTTGGCTCTCTGGTGTTAATACGTGGTCCGCTGGTCCACGAGTCCACTGCTCTCCGCAACTTCATAGCTACATAGCAAATATCATAATTAAGTAACGAAATGAAGTAACAATCGAACCTTGACGTTTGAAGCAGCAGTGCAGTGCAGTGCAGCCTTCAGCCTTCAGCCAGTGACAGCGACAACATCTAAGGTTTGCAGCCTCCACTGGGTACATGAGTCCACGGCCATACTTGGCTTTGAAGATCGTGTCCTTCACGTGGAAATCAGACGTTCGTGAAAACGAACGCATCAACAAAATGTTGAAATTATTTTGGCAGCGAACTCCAAACGGGACACGGGAGCTATGCTCAGCAAGAGCAGGTTTGCGTTTTCAGTTAGGCCCAGCGCAGAATGAGTGCATGCAGGGGAGAGCGTTGAAATGGTCTACGGTTAAGCCTGCTGTCGAGTCCCTCAGCGAGAAGCTCATGACGGGCTGGGGTGAGAAGGATGATGTGTTGAGTGCTGCTGATCGGTGGGCTCCGGCGGAAATTCCACAGGATCACCCAAGCGAAGAGTCAGTGAAGAACTTGTTGCCCAAGCTCAATCCACAATGGTGCGAGACTTAGTGGTAGTAATTTGAGCGTCCTCATTGGTCATCGGTCAGTGTAGCCAGTGTAGCTTAGCGATAGCGTGTGTTGAATTGAAGTTGCTACAGGTTGGTTTGGTGGTTCAGCAGTTGTCAACATGAACATGACATGAGCATGGCTGCAAGAAATATGCCTTGTGTCAGACGCTATGCTGCTGTAGTGCGGTGTCGTGTGGCTGTGGCAGTTACAGGTTACAGGTGCTCAGTGCTCGGTAGATGTATGATGATACAACACATTATATGCATGATGGAGACACGAATGAATGTCGGACGTCGGACCTTGGATGATTGGCGGATAATTATGGATTATAAAATGTACAGTCATGGTCCAGTCATGGTGTGAATGTTTACAAGTGGACTGTCTGGACTATTGGACATTGGACTATGCATTCTGAATTCTGGATGGATTATGCATGACTGTCGACCGCAATTGTAGACTGTAGACGGTAGACCTTATGGAATTCATGGCCTTAGGGCCTTAGAGAGTTTCAGCATGGTACCGGTACCGGGCACTCGGCACTAGATGGTCGGGGCAATCAGCAGATCGACAGATCGGTCTTCAAACATGTACTCAGTACTCAGTGTGTAAGTGCGCAATTCAAACATGTGCTCCGTCTCCCAGGTCTGGCTACGGCACATGCTACGTGTGGGGGGCCAGCTACAACATGCTCTGGAACAAGGTCTACGCTTCCAAGGATCAGGCAATTTTCGTTGGCCCTTCCCGCAAGCCAAGAAACCGCTCTGTTTTGGAAGTAGCCAGCAATCTGTACCTACCCGCAGAGAAGGTTCGCACTACACGTCAGCTGTTGCGATGCTCTATAAAGTTTAGCACCGTGGGCAACTCATGCTTGGAAGTGGAGAGGCCTTTTCACTTCACATCATCAATCCATTTTTTTGCAGAACATTTCGAGACAGTTCGCTCTGGGGCCGCACTGGCTGCATATTCTGTCCAGCTGTGTAATCTCAGAGTCACTCGTTCTGCTGATAATGGCCACGGGAGAATAGTGGCAGATGTGCAAGACAAGTCCTGCAGCAAGATGTTTGACTTGCAGCACAAGGCCCAGGCCCCGCAAATAGAGGGTCGTCAGCAAGCAGGGGAAATCCACAACGAGCAAGAGTTTCAGCGTGCAAGTGTTGCAATTGATGATGATGGTGGTGATGTTGATGACGACGACGAGGAGTACGGTCTTTCCTTGTTACGAGAACATGTAGCTGCAGACTTGGGGCAGCAAAATATTTCTGAGGAAGTGGCGGTGGCAGCTTCATTCGCAGAAGCGTCTGCCGATGCTGAAGGAGGAGTCTTGGATGAGGTAGCTGTGCGTGAGATGGTCGAGCAAGTTGCCGCCCGTGTTGATAGTGAGTTGGACTTAATGTGTCAAGTTGAGCAAGAAGTCTTTCAACAAGCTGTCCTAGAGAAGAATCTCAGCATGGAAGAATTGCAGCCCCAAGTGGATCGGCTGATGTCTCAGGGAATGTCTGCGGATGAAGCTGTGTTTGAAGCGGCGTTGAATTCAAGCAAACTGCTAGGCAATGTGGCGAGCAGCATGGGATCAGGTGCAGCAGAACCCAGCGCAGGCTCCTCATCATCATCATCCACTACCCCAGCAGACGCGTCTCTTGGATTAGGGCCTAATGATTCAGCTGGGCAACATTTCCGCATGACTTCCAAACAGATGTCTGAGCGTTGTTACGTGACATTCTGTGCCGCCTTCTCTGAAAGCTTTGGGGCTCTCTTTCGCTGTTTGCATGCTTGTGCAACCTCCAAGCCTGATCCCACTGGCATCTCCCTGGCGCAAAGCGTGACAGAGCTAACATGCGCTCCAAGTTTTCCAGGTTCGTGCAGGACAGTGCTAATCAGCTGGGAAGTTCCAGGCAGGACTGGACGTGTGGCTCGAGCCGACACTGAAGGGCGTCTTGTCAGCATGGTTTGCGTTGGTGCAAATCGAACAGCGCGTGACTTGAGCCACTGTCGCATGATCCACCCCAACATTGGCATTGCAATGGAACGAGTACGGAAGAAAGAGCGAGCAGAAATTCCTAGTTTCATTTTGCGCATGGCCAAGATGTTTTTGCAAGCAGAGTCGCTTGAGCTTGCAGAGGCAGAGTCAGTGATCAGAGAACTTGACGAAGGTTTAACCTCTGACCCCTGGGGTGATGTTGCACGGGCTGGTGAGGAATGCGTAAGCTGTGGGAAGCTTGAACGTTTGCCAGAAGTTGGTTCAAGTTCAGGGCTGACAGGTGTTGGTGGTTTGCGTTGCCAGCAGACACAGGCAACATCACTTGCTACCCAGTGCCCTTTGTGCTTACAAGCGTGGCATGTTGAGTGCTGCGACCATTTCACGGAGCAGTTCGCATCATCTCTTCAGCAAATTCAGCTGCACCCGGCGCCAGAGACGCAGAGGGAGCCTTGGCAGCATGAGAAGTGATAATGCAATCGTCAGCAGAGTTACGCATGTCTGCCGCAGATTCATCTTCATCACCTCGGGACGTGCGGAACAGTTTCAGCAGTTAGTATGTCGCAAGATTCGCGCATTCGGTCGGTCTAGCTTAGCTGTCAAACTGTCAGTTGTATGCCTTGCAAGCCTGTGCATTGTACATTGTACATTGTAAGAATTATAAGCTGCAACCGAAGCCACTTCAGATGTTTGCTTGGTTTTGCTGAATTTGGGATTGACATCGCCAGCCTGTTCTCCACAACTTCACAACACATGAGAATCTGAGAGGCTTCGTGACACCAGTCAGCATCAGCGTCCTCTGATGCAGCAA